CTGACAAACATTTCTTAGATTTGAGATGTGAAATATAATCGACTATTATTTAAAACACAAACCATTAATAACGATATACCAATAAGAAACTTTACTGCTACTTCGTACAACCAATGAAAGTAACGAGAATCTAAATTTCGGGGCAGAGTTTTGGAAGTTTGCGTTTTTACACATTTGAAATCATCAATCAATCATTGTTAGACCACCATTATAAACCTGAAAGCACTGGACGACCGTTTCGTCCTGGTATGGGACTCAAGAGCAGTGCGCATCTATGACTCCTGCTACGATGGTAAGGCGTTCGCCTATAATGCCAAAGGTCCCGGGTTCGAATACTGCGAGGAGCAGGAATCGTGGATGCGCACTGCTGATGAGTCCCATACCAGGACGAAACGGCCTTCCAGTGCTCCCAGGTTTCTAATGGTTGTCTAACAATGATTGATTGATGATTTCAAATCTAAATTTCGTTGGCATTCGAAGTCAGCAAAAGTTCTACTACATATTTCTATAATTCAACACTAACTTCCGTGTGCATTTTCACAAGATAAGTAATTCAAAGAATATTGGAGAAATTATCATCATTTGTAGCTTGTATATTGATTGGTTTTACGGCCCATTAAAATTCATGTTTATATGAATTCCCCAAAAGATATCACTAATACACATTTTTCATAATTTCGGCTACCCGAAACAAGGTAACAGTTCAAATTCTACTTAGTGTTGTTCTACACTTTTGATATCCTGAAGGTTTGTGAATTACAATTCATTACTAATACATAGTGATCTAGAAAACAAGCTGTTGACGTAGTTGTAATTTCTATCTGACTTGCAAAATACTAGTAGCTAATAACTCTAACAAACAAATGAAACACCATCAGTTTGACCAGTAAAAGAACTTCGCTTATTAGTTTGAGTGGTTTTAATTGTGAAGCTTTAATGATCTCTCAGGACGCTAGCAGAAGTGGGCTATTTGAATTTCCAAAGACAAAGGTTAGCGACAATCAATCAAGATCAGAGTCGCCAGAACAATCGTATAGCTCGTTTCTACCTAGAGTTTTAGAGAATGCCCTCCAGAAGGATAATTAAACCGGCTTAGCTTCAGAAACAAAAATCCACCAAAAGTAACTAAACCTCAACTAGGGCAAAAGAATGAACTGACGAGAATAGTTTAAGGATCTCAACTGTTTGACGGCTTTGCAAAGCCTATATAAACACGTACTAAAAGTTTATGAAATTGCCCACAGCTTATTTGAGTGCATAGAGGAAAACTAGTCTGGCAATCATAGTTCAAGCTCAAAATTTTCTAGTTTTTTTTCAAAAACCACATCTGCTAACGTATGATGATTTCTTTATTGTTCAGATGATACGTTCCCTGATTACTTTTGTTTTGAACAAACTACGTACAGACTAGTAAATCTACCAATTAGCTGCAACGGAAACATAATTTATGCAACTTTCATTTCCTAACAGCTCTTTATTCGACATAACACGTTCGATAAACATTAAAATTAACGTAACATAATTATATCATTTTGGCAATCGAATTTATATATCTTTGATGGGAAGCGAATACGTTGTCCGAATGTGTTTCAGTCAGTCAGTTGCAACGTAGAACTTCGTACGTATGAACATAAGTTCATGTTGCTATACCACATGAGCACAGAAACGCAAATGTCAAATCAAATCTCATTGTGATAAAGATAGTAGAGGTATTAATGGTAATGAAGAAGACAAGGGTTCGAAGAATTTATTCAAGAAATGTAATACAGTGAGATAAGGTTAGAAAGACAAAGGTAGAGGTGCTGCAGATCCAGAAGGTTAGAATTAGGGAGAACACAAAGAGTGAATGTACCTGAGCCATTGCAAACGATTCTGAGCCAAGTCATTCAAGGTCTCTAACCATTGGTGACTATCGTCTCGCCGACCCCAACCAGGTAGTCTACATCTATCAACATGACTCAGTCCACTTGTCAATGACTTCATGGATTTCTGCTTAGCTTTCTTTCAACCTACTCCTACACTACAAAACATAGCTCGTCGAGGCAGTCGATGGTTTACAGTCATCGTTACGTTTCAGTATATTTTCAAATGATGTTGGTTGCCAATTCTTTCCTAAGTGGGGGTGGAGGGCATTAAAGTCAGTAAACTCCTTTGAATTCATTCATAAATATATCTATCTATCATATACAAATAATTATTTGTCAATAAAATACTTACAAGTGTGCTGCTTTTTTAAATAGATAGATAGATAGAATATAGAGATGTGTTGTTAAACACTACACACATACTTACATACATGATTAAACTTTTATATAAAAACAATCAACATCAACATCATCATCATCAAACTAGACAAACACTGGGAATAGGTTCACATATGTTCGTTCATATGATGAAGAACAATCAATACTTTTTGAAAAAGGCAAAAAAAAAATAAGTAACAGAATTTCATAATTTATTTTCTTTTATCTCAAGATAAAGAGAGAGAGAGAGAGAAAAAATGCAGCTCCGATAGATATAAAGTTCTCCTTAATGTGTACACATGTAGAATAATATATCATCAGGGTTGGTTAAAAAGGAAGAAATTATTATTATTAAACACACACACGCACATGAATAGTTTAGAAGAAATAATGTAAACTCATAACAAAACTAGTAAAATATTTCGCGGGTGGGGGCGGTTGAACTGATTCTGATAGGATTGATTTCCTTGACTGAACAGGAGAGACAGGAAATCATTAGATTTAGTTAGTCCAAATGAAAACACCCTGGATGTCGGTAAAAATTGTAAATGGAATCTCAAATGCAACTATTGGTAATTTGAATATCAATGACGACCACCGGATGAATGATCCTAAAAATAAATAAAAACATATGGATATATTAAAAAGTTGAAATAATTATCACAATGACAATGAAAATTGATGCGCACATACACAGATCCTCTTTCGAAACAACGACACTTTCATTGTGCATAGTAATCAACAATGTGCAACTAATCCGCTGAAACTATCCAACGAAACTGACGTAAGACAGACAGACATATACAACGCAGAACTTCGTACGTAAGTACATTAGGTCAGGTTGCCGATACCGCATTAGCACAGAGACGCAACTGTCAGTTCAAAGCACATAGTGATAGCGATAGTAGAAATAATAGCAGTAATGAAGAAGATTAGGGTTAGAAGATATGATCTGAGTAGTATGATACAGTGAGATAAATTTGTAAAGAGAAAGATAGAGATGATGAGGAATTCAGAAAGAGAACACAAAGAGTGAATACACCTGTGCCACTGCAAACGATCTTGAGCCATGTCGTGTGACAGCAGTAAGGTGTTTCCCTCGGACAACCAACATCTGAAGCGATAATGCCTTCTCAAAAGGATGGATTAGAAAAGGTCGACTTTAAAAATGTCACACCTCACCCTACCACCCTTTAAGAGCGGAGCTAATACTCAAAAAACTTCTCATAAACAGGCCGTGCGTGACTGGCCTCAAGCACTGTTCCCTTGGATTGTGCGGCCACGCTTCCAGGTTATCAAGACCAACACTAATCTACCTTCCTTTTCAGGTCCCTCAAGAAACACCCTTTCACGGTGTGGGCAGCCGGGAAGTGACATACCCATAAAAACACACGAGACAATATTGGTCAAAATCAAATCCTTCCTCTACCTCCTAACATCCCCTCCATCTTCACGAATAACTCTTCTCACATTCCTTTATCACCCTGCACCACTGCTGCAAACGATTTGAATTCCTGAAACGTCATTCTTGGTCTCCTGAAACCTCGTTCTAAATTACATGTTGAAGCATTTAATGTACGGACATTGTGTCAAATAGGGCAACTGGCTTCCCTAGCTAGAATCTCGCGCTATAGATGTATGCTGCGCATCGGAAACGTGCATACAGGATCCTAGTAAAATTATTAATCTGATTTCACCTTGTCAAAATAAACTAATGAATGCTAAACGAGTAAAGGATATCCACAGAAACATATTTGGAATCACAGAAAATGTGAGGATGCCTAAAGAAACTACAGTAGACAAACAACTAATTCTTATTCAACTTAAATCCAAGGTGATGATGTTACAGAGGGTAAACAACCTACGACTAAAGACTGCATTAAGAAGAACGTATCATACAGTTAAATTGAACGATTTTTTTAAAAATAAAATGGTCTTTAACAAAATCTAAGGTATTCTCACTTTCAAGTAACCACTAACTGTGTGTATACAAGTTCAGATGTATTTATTTGCCAAATGAGTTACATTGTTAGGATAAAAACGGCCCAAATTCGATCTCAGAACATATTCTAAAAGTTCTGCTGTCAAAAGGCATTTAACAGAGCCATCTCAAGACATCTTGTCGATACAATAAAATCTTTTCAGGCACAATTAATAATATATACAATGGAATCACAATCTTTTTCCGTTGAAGTGATAGATATTCAACGTTTGAAACCGCAGTTTCGATCGTCATATCTCATGAATGTATAATTTCAATACCAAATTGAATGATTTCAGTTTATATTATGCCTTACTACTTACTTACTGTTAACTTGTTCTGTTCCTCGATTACGCAGCCACCTATAGTTTGTCAACTCCTTATTTAATATCAATCAATAATTCAATTTTCTGGAACTCTCTCTCTCACACACACACGTTTTATTTATCTGCATTAGAATTTTTACGACCTTATAGTAACTTTGCAGAAATTTTACACACACACCCACACATACACTGATCATAAAGTGAGGTTAAAAGGTCAGAACTGTATAATAAGGAAAAAAATAGAAAGTGACTAATTTGCATGAGTACATCTCTCTCTCTCGCTCTCTCTCTCTCCATGGGATACACATGTCACATACTTGATTATTTTTTGAATTAGCTTTCACATTATTCACAGCATTTGTACTACGTCTAGTACGTTTAGCCGGAGGTGATGCAGTTGTTGATACAATGATATCATTCTCTTTTTGATGATCTGATTGAACTTCTAATAATTGCATTCTGGTTTGAGACAGATCTGTTTCTAATTGATGTATTTGGTTGGTCAATTCTTGTACCTGTATGTAACACAACACAGTAATAAAATAAAAATATTTGAAGAATTATCATAACATTTAAAAGTCAACTACTACTACGTAATAAGTAGTACATGGTGATATGATAATGTAACAAGCTACTACTCTTGTAGTGAAGGAGAACACAGGTGGGGCAACCGAATTGTATTTAACGAAAATTACAGAGTTACTCAGTAAAAATTGGAAAACCATATCGTAAACCGTTGTTAATTTGCAAAATATCAGTTCATCATATTATCGAACTGGACTGTTCCTGTTGCCAAACATCAATCCATTGTCACTATTCATGTGTTTCATACAAATTCCATTGTGTTCTAACTCTTTCTTTCTTGATCTTCCTTCCTCCATCTTCTGTTGCCAGACATTACGTTGACGCTCACGTCATATACTACTTATAAGTAGCTCACACCACACTACATTTTACAAATTAAGGACTAGCATTTGTTTGAAATATACTTGTTTCGTGGAACTTTTTTGACCAATTTCGATCTAAGTGGTGAACTGTTGCGATAACTGGAAACTTGACATTTGGCTACCTGTGTGAGTGTTAACGATAACAAACAATTCGAAACTCTGAGGGTTATTGTCACCCAGTGTTACTACTCCATTGACATGCCAATTTGACAGTCACATTTCGAGTGGTCAACGTCCCAATCAGAGCCTATGAAAACTGACCTCTTCGAACTAAGGATATTGGATGGTTGTGTTCAGTTGTTGTCATTTCTCGAGGAATGTGTGGATTCGATCACGTACGTTACTGAAAGAGTGATGATGGAGTTAGGTAACGTGTATAGACACATATATCTGGGCAGCTATAACCGACAATCAAGGTGGATCCGATGCAGATGTGAGGACGTGGACGGCTTGGCAAAGCAAGGGCTGCATTTCTACAGTTGAAAAATATCTGCAACTCCAAACAACTTTCAACCAGAACCAAAATCACGATTTTCAATATAAATGTCAAGACAGTTCTATTGTATGGAGTGGAAACATGGAGAACTACCAAAGTCATCATCCAGAAGATACAACTGTTTATTAACAGTTGTCTACGCAAAATACTTCGGATTCGTTGGCCAGACACCATCAGTAACAAAGTACTGTGGGAGAGAACAAACCAGATTCCAGTGGAGGAGGAAATCTGGAAGAAGCGGAAGTGGATAGGACACACACTGCGGAAAGCACCTAACTGCGTCACAAGACAAGCCCTCACATGGAACCCTCAAGGCAAAAGGAAAATAGGAAGGCCAAGGTAATAAAGAAAGATATGATAGGAATGAACAAATATTGGACAGAACTGGAGAAGGAAGCCCAGGACAGAGTTAGTTGGAGAAAACTGGTAGGCGGCCTATGCTCCATTGGGGGTAACAGGCGAAATTAAGTAAGTAAGTAAGTAACGTGTATAGACATTGTAGCAGTGATAAAAATGAGCACAAGTAATATGTAGTGACAGGCTCAGTGGGTTGAACATGTTTTAAAATCGATAACCAAATGAATTAAAAAAATAGAAAATTATACACCGACCCTATGAATTGAGCAACTAGTACATAAAAATTTCGGTAAACTTACACGTGAAGTTGAATTGTATGCTGTCTCTTTTTCTCGTGCAACTTCCTCAGACAACTTTTGAACAGATTGTTGGGCTTTAGCAAGTTCTGCCTCCAACTGAATGAACATAAAAAAACAAAACAGAACAAAACTTTAACATAGAACAATATAACTGTGTACTAAAGTAGGATTCAACAAAACAATGTGTCTGTCATACATCTGTGGCATGGTTTGTGCACCAAGTTAACATTTTGCTGTGTATCTCACTCAAACTATTACTTTTCAAGTTGTGAATAACTGATTAACATCAGATTTGTTAAACAGACACCTTAACGATTCTCTGACTGAATCGCTTTCCTTTTAAACAATTTCTCATATTACATCTCAAAGTCATCTTTGTTAACATTGTAAACAGAGATTAGTTATATCATACTTTCAACACTTAGGAATAGTAAAAGTTTTCCTGAGGAGGTGACTATATTTTCTTCTCTTTTATTGAGATTCTGAAGGTGCCTATGGGTAAAGTGTTGAGATGAGGAAAGGGCAGTCATTGAGTGCACAAAAACGGGAATTTTGTCCTAGTCTTTCACCATTCAGGAGTAAGATACTTGATATAGTAAACCAATCAGAAGTGGACTAATAAGAACACCATTTAATGAGCATAAGAAAATGTCCTGAAGGACGAATACATAATAGTCAAGAATATATGAACATACAGAACATGCTTTCAGCTCGCTAAAGTGGTCAGTTCGGGAAGATTAGCACATATCGCGTCCACGTTTCAGGACCCGTACAGCTTTTTGTCGACAATTTGTCAATCCGACAAGTAAATAACATTTTAAAATTTCAATTTCAGCAGATCAGTTTTTCATTCAATTTAGCAGCAAGAAGCATTCCAAGCACCCCCAATTGAAAATGATCAAAATGATAACAGAAAAGTTTTCAGTTTCCGAAAATTCAGTTTTTAAGTGACCGAGACAAGGGGCTGCTCAATCAATGACTGATTGAGTTTCACATTAACCTTGCTGCATGTATCACATATAAATCAAAGGCATTTTTCAAGTTGGTTGTTTCCATTATGATGACTTATGAAAAGTAAGAATTCTACTTCCGAATATGAAAAGCAGTCAAATTTTATCGTGCAAAATCGTACAAAAATCGACAAATTTTTATTTACCTAGTCTTGTTTATTTAATTTGTAAAATAACTACTGCTAGGAAAGTCGAAGATAATTTTATTTCATATGCTGTGTATATTAATAAGGAAATAATTTAGCGTGTACACAGGTTGCAATTCCCAATAGATTCAGATTATCTTATTAGAACTTTAAGCAGGACAGAATCAAATCCCAATTTTTCAAGACATTTTCTGATGGTCATCAAACGGACTTCTCATTAGAGGCCAGTTCTGATTGGCTCATTGTTGTAGTACTTCACTTGATACCGATACACGTGACAAATTTCATATTGTTATAAATGAACAAAGTTTATCTGAATCCAGGCAGTAAAAACTAATATTTTAAACTCAAAGCGGTCGATAGGATTTATTAAAAACAACACGATTCAATAAAAGTAATATCGATAGACCACAACTTCTGTCATTGAACAACTTACCTGAGATTTTACATTTTCATTTGTTTGTTGAGTTTGCACTGCTTCAGCCATAAGAGTTTTACAACGTTCTTCCACTGAAGACAACTCAGCTTTAAGCTGTAAAAAAGCAAACAAAACTAATTATGAAGTGTTAATATTGTGTGTGTGTGTGTGTGAAAGGATAAACAAATTACACTAAGGAATAGTGTTAGTGGGACATAGATGGAATTAAAGCGTGACTACGTTGCTACGCGCTGATTGGTTAATTTCCTATCCAATCAGCGCCTGATCGAATCTTGGAGAACAAGGTAGAAGATTCTCGTACTGTTAGCTGCGTGCTGATTGGCTAAATCTAATCCAGTCGATCACGTGAATTACTATCCAGAAGCTTCTCATGTAAATGCTATAACTAGACTAACGTTGTATCTATTTTTGCCTTCGCCTTCGCCATCACCTTTGGCTTCTTATTTCCATTTAACTTTGCTATTTGGAATATAATCTTTTCCTGTTCAACCGTGTTTATTTGATTCTTTGGAACTTGTCCAGTGTATTGTGTTGAGAGAATACTAAGCAATAGGTTTTAGCCGGGAATCATCTAAGCAAGCGTTACAACAAATAGAGATACGTTTATAGTGACATCCTGGTCAAAAAATCAACTTTGACGATTTCAAATGATTAGCAAGTAATAAGTAGTATATGACGCGAGTGTAAACGTAATGTCTGGCAACAGAAGATGGGGGAAGATCAAAAAAGGAAGAAGAGTGGGAACACAATGGAATTTGTATGAAACGCATGAATAGTGCAATGTCAGACAACGGATTTATGATGGATTGGAGATTTTCAAATTAACCGTTTACGATATGGTTTTCCTTCTTTTACTGAGTAACTCTGTAATTTCCGTTAGATACAATTCGGTTGCCCTCACTTGTGTTCTCCTTCACTACAATCGACTACTAGTCTAATTCGGTCAAAATTATTCATCAGCTGGACATTTAAAATGATGTGCAGCTTCGTTAAAACGATCTAATCACATTTCCATAATTAACAGGTAGAAGTTGTTTGGCAGTCATATCGTAATCAGAAATTGGTACTTAGCACACGGTACAAATTTGACAAACCGGTCTTATTTTAAGAGAGTACAATTTTCTACTTGACAATTCTTAGTTTTATAAAAAATCAAAATAGCTATGAAGCTCGACATAACTGAGTTTTTACCTATGAGCGTTCAAAAGAACACAATCAGCTAGAACTTCTAGTAGAAGTGAAGTATTGAAACTTTTTCACACAAAACTGACAACCTTTCCTGTCTGCGCGAACATAAACTGGCTGTTAAACACCCCTAAAATAACTTCGGTCATATCAGTGTATCTGGGACGATTGCGGACATGTTTCATTGGAAAAAACGCTGAAATTCTAAATATGGGGAATAAAAAGACCAGGGAATTTTTAAAAGCTCGATGCTCAGGTCAGACAGTAATAAACACATTGAAGCTGATCAGGCTTAGCAACTAACTGGGAAAACCATAGATACATACAGGACCAAGAATCTAGTCAACAAGAGAGACAATCAAAATAGGTAGGCAGACGATAAGGTTAACTATTAACAAGAACCAATCAAGTTCAAAATGAACAAGACTAGCTGACGGTCATGTATGGAAAGATTTAAATAGTCCACTTAGACCTAGAGTTTAATCTGATGATATAGTTTATAAGAACAACGAAGGCTTCACAATTAAACTATCCATTGACAGAACGAGACTGCGCCAAAAACGGTCGGGGAAGCTCATTCAGGACATCATCCAATAAAATCGGTCGATGAACAGAAATTTGGTTTTCGTCAATTCGTGGTCAGTTCAACTTTAGGAAAATTAGAGACTACAAAGAAAAAATTTATCAGAAAATTAATAGATTTCCAAAACACTATTATATAACATACCCGAGCGATAATATCCAACTTAGCAGACTGTTGGTTGTCTTCATTTAGACATTCTTGACAATGCAAGCATAGAGTTTCATTTCCGTTAATGTTAACTGATGGCTCTTCGTGAGCTAGTTTTAATTATACAGAAAAAAATATCATTTGATTGATTGAGTAAGGTTACTATTATACAAATTAAATAGGAATTCTGATAGCATGATGTTATGTACTGAATACGTCAAAAAAACAAACATTTATAACCTATGAGCGCATTTGATTGGGACACATACTGTAGGGGATGTTCCCTTCAGATAATAAGCTTTATGTTTTGCATTCTTCCATTGACCTGTTGCTTCAAGACTGGGTTGCATCGGCACCTGAACTAGTGATAGGGAGTGAAGTAGTCGAGTGTGTAGACCGCTTCACTTATCTTGGGAGTCTCATCAGTGCTGACGGTCTGGTGACTGACGAAATCTCAGCTCGGATACAGAAGGCTCGATTGGCTTTTGCCAACCTGCGTCACTTATGGCGTAGGCGTGATATCCGTTCGCTAACCAAAGGGCGGGTGTACTGCGCAGCAGTTCGTTCTGTTCTCTTATATGGCTGTGAAACATGGCCGTTAAGAGTAGATGTTCGTAGGTTACTAGTATTCGATCATAGATGTTTAAGAAGCATTGCTCGTATATCGTGGGACAGCCGAGTAAGCAATGCTGTTGTTAGGAAACGAGTTCTAGGTAAGGATGGCAGATCAATAGATGAAGTGGTGAAACTTCATCAGTTGAGGTGGTTGGGACATGTGTTACGTATGGCTAACCACCGACTGCCCCGACGAGCTATGTTTTGTGGTGTAGGAGTAGGTTGGAAGAAAGTTAGGGGCGGGCAGACCAAAACATGGCACAAATCCATGAAGTCATTGACAAGTTGACTAAATCATGTTGGTAGATGTAGACTACCTGGTTGGGGTCTACGAGATGTAAGTCATCAATGGTTAGAGACCTTGAATGACATGGCTCAATACCGTTTGCAATGGCGCAAGTGCATCCATTCATTGTGCTCTATCAAATCTTAATCTTCTGGATTGGTCAGCAGCTCTACCTTTGTCTTTCTAACCTGATCTCACTGAATCACACTTCTTGAATCATATCTTTGCCCCCCTAATCTTCTCCATTACTGCTAATACTTTTAATATCGCTATCACTCTTGGATTTGAACTGACATTTGCGTTTCTGTGCTCATGTGGTATGTCAAGATGATCTTATGTACATACGTACGAAGTTCTTACGTTGCAACTGACTGACTGATTGACTAACTGATGGAACCACACATTGGAGAAAATCAAATTGATCTGAATTAGGGTGTATTGTATTTGCTTGCGTCATACAATTTAAACAATTTGGCCACACAACTATTTTTCAAGGTATTTTTTGTTTATATTTTTAGTATTGTCAAATAGTTGGGTAGTTTTTTATGCTTCTTCTTCTGTTAACTACATCAGAGAGAATTTTAATATTTTTGTCAATCAAATCTCAAATATTAATCTTAAGAATAATGTGAATAAAGCAGCATTATTCACCATAATAACTCATTAAATAAAATAATCTCAAAAGTTAAAAAAAAAATACCTTTAGGAGAATTATTATTATTATTATTATTCAGAATAGTTTCACAACGTTTCCCCAAGTCAACAATGATTTTATCTTTTGCAATAACTTTATTCCGTAAATCATTTAACTGTGAAGAAAGGAATTTATTGGTAGTTTGTAAACTTGTTAAATCGGAATGCCAACGTTCAACTTCTGCACCACCACGTACAGCTCTGCATCGAACTGATTCTAATTCTTTTGTAGTAATTTCCAATTGACCACGAGTATTTGCAAGTTGTGTTGTAAGTTCAGAACAAAGGCGTTCTTTTGTTTTGAACTATAAGACAGGAAATAAAAGTTACAAAACTGATCAATAATTTTACTCCACAATAACAACCATAAGAACGTGTTTATCAAGCGCGAATTCTTACGATAGCAATTGATCGTTGATATTTAAAAAAGTATAAGACGTTAAGTTTGAACAAGTTACTTAATGAGTAAAAATGAAAAGGTTTAACTAATGAGCTAACGCATTAACTTTCGATTCGTAAAGCCTCTATTGCATAGAAGCATACATAAATGAGGAATAGATTGTGGTTGCAACACACTTATGAGCATGGGTTTGACCAGTCAGTCAGTCAGTCAAATGCAACTTAGAACTTCGTACGTAAGTACGTCAGTTCATGTTGCCATACCACATCAGCACAGAGATGTAATTGTCAATTCAAATCCAATAATAGTAGTAGAGGTAGTAAAGGTATTAGAAGTAGTCGGAAAGGTTAGGATTAGAAGATATTATTCAATAAGTATAATTCAGTGAGATAAGCTTAGAAAGTCAAAACTAGGGGTGTTGAAGAATCCAACAGATTAGGATTTGATAGAACACAAAGAATAAATGCACCGGCGCCATTGCGAACGATTTTGAGCCATGTCATTCAATGGGTGTGACCAAACAAATAAAATCAAAGATATCCACTTTAACTATGTCATGCGATTTCAGTTAGTGAGATTATTGTGTTAGGATTTATTTATTAAATTGACAATACAACTCAAGGGCATTGTGGTTATTTGCTTTTAAAAATAATGTCAGTTTATTCCTCGTCATCTCTGTCTTTCTCTTCCTAAATTTATCTCACTGTATTATACCTCTGGAATCATATCTTCGAACCCGAACCTTTTACTTCTACATCTACTATCGCTATCACTATGTGATTAGAAGTAACAGTTGCGTCTCTGTGCTAATGTGACATGGCAACCTGAATTGATGAACGTACGTGCGAAGTTCTAGGTTGTTACTAACTGACTGACTGACACTTTAATGATAAAAATGAATATTGTATAACTCGGGTATGAGCCACATTCCAGAAGTGAAGGCTTATGATACTTTCCGGTTGCGTGGATATGAAGTAAAACGAAACGCGAACTTGGGACCTAATGAAAGATAGACATATACAACACAAAACTTCGTCTGTAAGTACATCAGTTCAGGTTGCCATACCACATCATGAGACCTAATGAAGAAAAGTTGAACGCCCCAAACATTGGGTCCCTACATTGCCATAAATGAATATTTCATAACTAGAGAAGTGGTCAGCTTTACTACCCAATTATAGTTATTGAATTAGGTTAGTTGCAGTAGACCAAATGAATTTATGTAATTATTACAGGGTTTGATCGCAACACTAAACCGGGTCAAAAGAAAACACAAAATATTCACATAATAATAGATTTACCTCAGCAGACATTTTATCCACTTGTGCAGATTTAGCATCAAATCGTGATCGTAAATCAAAAAGTTCTGATCGTTTAGCTTCATTGTCCATTCGAAGTTGATTAACAGCACCTTGAAGTTCAATAATTTTATTTCTATCAGAAGGATCACTTTGAGGAATTATCTTTACACACAAAAAAAAGAAAAAAGGAACAATGAGTAAAGTTGATGTGTTTTGAAATACAATACAATACAAAAAAGCTACTAAGAATATTTTTAATGCTAAATGATAGAAAGTTGTGCAAATACATCAGTAATGTCGACGAATCAAAAAGCAGTGAGTGAAGTATGTTACTTTTACTAGATGTGTTGTGAACGAGAACACAGGTGGGGTTACCGGAGTGTATGTAACAATAACTTACAGAGTTACCCAGTAAAATTGGAAAACCATATCGTAAATCGTTCATTCGCAAAATATCAATCCATCATATCGAACTGGACTGTTCCTGTTGCAAAACATCAATCCATTGTCACTATTCATGCGTTTCATACAAATTCCATTGTTTTCTAACTCTTCCTTTCTTGATCTTCCCTCCATCTTCTGCTGCCAGACATTACGTTGACGCTCACGTCATATACTACTTATAAGTAGCTCACACCACAGATGTACTCAATGAAACACTGCTTAGTTCAGATTAGGATTTATTTCATTTAAATATGACTTGTTAAAAAGAATATGATCAAGCTTATTGAAATTGCGTTTATCATAACTTCAACAATCCTATCATTCTTAAGCTAATCGCAAAGTTATATTGCCAACAAAATCAGCTTCTTTCAATAGTACAATTATCAAGAAAAAAAGGATTGTTTACAATATTAAGACAGACAGATACAACACAGAACTTCGTACATAATTACATCAGTTCAGGTTGCCATACCACGTCAGCACAGAGATGTAACTGTCAGTTCAAATCCAACAGTGATAGCGATAGTAGAAGTATTAGCCATGATGGGGAAGATTAGGGAGCGAAGATGTGATTCGAGTTGCATAATTCAGTGAGATAAATTTAGGAGAAAGATAGAGATTATGAGGAATTCAGAAGCTTAGAATTTCAGAGAACACAAAGAGTGAATGCACTTGCGCCATTGCAAACGATTCTGAGTCATGTCGTTCAAGGACTCTAACCATTGGTGACTTTCGTCTCGCGGACCCCAACCACGTAGCCTACATCTACTAACATGACTCAGTCCACTTGTCAGTGACTTCATGGATTTGTGCCATGTTTTGGTCTGACCGCCCCTAAATTTCTTCCCATCTACTCCTACACTGCAAAACAGCTCGTCTCGGCAGTCGGTGGTTAGGCATACGCAACACATGTCCCAACCACCTCAACTGATGAAGCTTCACTACTTCATCTATTGATTTGCCATTCCTACCTAGAACTCGTTTCCTAACGATAGCATTGCTTATACGGTTGTCCCACGATACACAAGCAATGCTTCAGAGACATCGATAATCGAAGACTAGTAACCTACGAATGTCCTCTACTCTTAACGGCCATGTTTCGCATCCGTATAGTAGGACAGAGCGAACTGCTGCGCAGTACACTCGTCCTCTGGTTAACACTATCCAAAAAAACAAAACGATACACTTACTGGTTTGGGAGGAGTAGCTATGGCTGCTTCTTCTAATCTCTTAATTCTTTGTTTTAATTCTTGATTTTCTTTTTCCATATTTTCTAAATCAGTCTCGGTTCGTTTGCGTCGTTGATATTCACGATCACGTTTACTTCTTAAACGTTCAATTTCAGATTCTAATTCAATAGGACCTACTCCTCGACGAGCTAAATCTTCACGAGCTGTTGCTAATTCACGTTTCAATATACTAATTTGAGCTGTAAGACTTGAACGTTCAACATCCGCGGCTTCAAGTTTTGAAGCTTTTTTGGATATTTCCTACAAAATTAAAAAAAACAATTATTAGGTAAGCTACATAAATCAATCGTAGATTTTGTGGCAAATAAATTTCACCAAATACTATCGAATAAATGATGCATTTCGAATGAGCACCAACAAGATGATGTTAAAAAAAATGAAATTCACTGACCTCATGGATACGAAGAATCACGTCTTCTCGGTAAGTTAAAAGTTGATTAAGTTCGTTGACTTGGCTCTTTAACTCCAAGACCTTG